ATATGAAGGTTTAACAGTGGGGAAAAAAAGGTCCTGAAAAACATTAAAATAAGGAAGCTCTAACTTTATTGTGGCTTTTCGAGTTCACGCTGAAAAAAGACGCAACACTTGTCACCAGGAAACCGTGTTAAGAAGTCTTGAGAACACAAACCTTCCAGAGAACTGTCTGAGAGAATCACTCAAGGCTCTGCAGAAAAAAAAGTAATCAGAGGGCACAGAGTTTAACAGAGTGATCTTGGGGGAACATAAGGGAATGAGAGGCCAATAAGAGACATTTATACTCAAGGGCATGTGACACATTTTCTTCTGAATTCAGTCAGAGATTCAAAAGTTCTCCGCTGACGTGTAGTGTCAGCAGCTAAATGACTAACAAGTGTTATAAAAGACCTTGTGAATGAAAGACAATTACTTTCTTATTAACCCGCAAAGTTATTGAACTCAATATACAAAGAATACATTCAAATGCTTGCATCCTACAATGCTCAAAGAAGAATACGGATAAAGGGGTTTCGATTAATTTATCTGTCCAAAAACAAAACACACACAAAAGCAACCGAAGCGTAAAGGTGTGAAATTCGACTGAGTCGAACGAACATTAAATTAGAAATAGGGGAATCCAGATATCAGTCATGCGTGAATATGCAAACTTTCATACACACACACACACACGCGCGATTCTGAGAAGGTAAAACTGCTCTGCAAATGAATACAATCCATCACAGAATGGGAAAGGACTGAATAAAAAACCCAGATGGCATATACACTGCAGTAAGTCACAAAACAAAAAGATAAAAAAAAAAACTGTGCATAACCAAAACTAAAAAGTGGTCAGAAAATAGATAATGATCATTCACAAAATGAATACTATTTGTACAACATACAGGTATCGCTGATTGAAAATAGTATGACAAAATTGCCCAGATAGCGTCCTGTTTTTTTTTATAGATTTTTGAAGTATGCATCCATGTTTGCTAATAATGCTCCAATACTTTTGGGTACATAGTTTGTGACATTCAGTAATGAATTTAGCTACAATGCACACTAGTTTTAGCATTAAATGATGGCCACAGAGCATCCACAGTTCATCCGATGCATACTGCATGCAAAAAATATCAATGGTTGGCTACAATTAGCTGTGTCTTTGTTGGTTTTACGCAAATTCTGGAGGGTCAGGTGGCCAGTCTGCATGGACACAAACTGATGTTTAAAAGGTACTGAGCTCATATTACGAGCGGTTTATGCACTTGAAAGCAAGTAAACTGTGAATCCACAAGCAAAACTGTATATTTTGCTTTGTTCTCTTCCTGTCTGCACTCACTAGTTTCCAGAGAGACAGAAATTCCGATCAAGTCTACACACATTTTCCCCTGTGCAATTTTCACATTTTCACCTCTTTTCTGTACAATCGATAACAGAGTCCTGCACAGAGCCAAGGCAAGTGTCATTAGATTTTTTTTTCAAAGTGTTCTTCAAAGTGAGACAAATCTCTTCCTGAGTGATGAGTACAGTAGTGTAGTCACAGTTACTGCATTGTGTACATGCTGTATCCACACCCTCATCAGTGAAGCACATACTGCTAGTTATGCTGATCAAGGTCTCTTCTGCTAATGAAACAGAAGCCAACAAAACAAAAACACGTTTTTCTGATATGATTCAAATATTATAAGATGTGTTTTCACTCATGACAACGTTGTGATCTATAGAGGCTCATTCTGCTTATCTGTAAAGAAAGAGTTCGCATTTTCTCCCACAATGTACAGTATGTCGTATCTTCACACGATCTCTATCTCTCTTAGTTTCTTCTTTCATTTTTTTTCTTTTTAACATGTGGTCTGACAGACAGTCATGCTCACGACAAGTACAAGTAAAGACTGACTGTCGTTTGTCACGTAATCTGAAATCATTGTTCCTGAAATGGTGATGGCATAGCGAAAAGGATAAAATGCATTGCACGATGAGCTTCATCAATATCTATCTTTCACAACAACAATGCTTCCTGCCTTGTGATTTCCATAGAAGGCTTAAAGGCCAACAGTGTACTTTAATGATGAAAAATATGATAAATGCAACTGGGGAACACTCAACATATGTGTTCAAAAAAACAGGGCAATTCTCACAATAAGGCATTGGAAAGGTTCTGTTGAAACATGCTGATTAAATGTTGGTACGGCGTTCATGTACAGTAGATAGAAATTTCACGAAGGCTGCCATTTGTCATCCAACATGAGCTCAATATGAACTATTTTTGTGGCAGAGATATCAGTATCTCATTCATGGCCAGTCCCTTGTGGTCAGGAAGCATTGCAATTTCACGTCACTTTAATGTGAGTGAACTTTTAATACACAGATCATGGCCAACAGCAAGCATTCAGCCATCAGAAAAAGAGCATACAAACCAAAGCATATAAAAGGCTTCAGCTTTTTAAAGTGAATTTTTATAGCTGAAATTTCATTCATAATTCCTTGATGGAGCTATGTTTTATACTGACGACAGCTTTGAATCAGTTGAAATCATGCACTCTGTGGCCATAGTCTTGTGCTTAGTGCACGCATTAAGTAATGCATTGAGCTTTGGCACTTATGCAGGTAATGAGAAGTCAAAGCTGGCATGCAACAATTTCCCAATCCTTTTCTTCTCACTCTAATTTCTAATTCCTCACCTCACCAGGGTTTAGAAAAATAATATGAACAATACTTTATTATTAAGCTGATTTACCACACTGTGCCTTTAATTCAGTTTCCAACCTTCTTAAAATAGTCTCCTTTAAATATTCTCCAGTCATCTATCAGAACATCCGCCAGTTGCTTTAGAGATGTTGAAGAAGGGAAATTGCCCAGTGTTTTTTTATTTTTTATTATTATTTATTTAGTTAAAAAAAAGGGGGGTGGACATTAATCAATATTCATAAATGTAAATGTACCCAAATTAGCTCAACGGCTAGTTTTCATTGGTAGTCCCTTTTCCAGACGTTATTTAGGTAAAAAAAAGTTGGTCCCACTTTATATTAAGTGGCCCTAATACCTGTGTACTTACATAGTAACTAGATGTGTACGTAGTATGTAACCACAGTGTAAGTACACATTGGTACATAGTATCTACAGCTCTAATGTTTGTGTAGCTACACATATGTAACAACCCACTGGATGGTATGTGTAAATACAAATGTGTAACAGGACATTGGTAACAACACTTTTTGGTAATGAAAGTACAAATGTGTAACCGGACTAACAGCACTTTTTGGTAAAGAAAGTGTTACACTTTATATTAGATTTACCTTGTAATTACTCTGATGTTACACAGCAGCGGCCAGTAAGTTAGGCTTTAC